AGTCCTTCTCCTCAGAGCTGCTCTTCATCCAGCAGAATGAAGTAAATCCAACAGGGCAACAGGGGAAAAAGCACCTATCTGTCATCTTGCTGAGTGAATGGTCCTCAGGGAAGGGCCAGCATTTTTACAGCCAACCTCTGCTGAGCCCCTACATAACCTCACGATTCACCCTCAGGCACGCCAAGAAGAGGAGAGGACACCTGCAAGATGTCAGCAGAAGTTAGGTCCAGGGAGGACAGGCCAGTAAGCTCCAATTTAAACAAATGGTCCAGGTTGCTATGGAAACCTCAAGGATGGAAAAGAAGATTTGGAAACAAAGCACAGTGAGGCAGATTTCAGAGCTGCTCTGAACAGGTTTATGACCAGAAAAGGCAAAGTGGGTGTTAAATGCTTTTTTAGCTAAGTCAATAGCAGCAGCACTTGAGAAGGAGGCATTATGGATTCGCAGCACCCATCATACCTCTTCAATCCCAACCCCCAGGAGAACACTCTTCTGTACTATGGGATGAAAATCCTGTTTCTTAACCCCTTCTTGGCACCCTATCTCCTTACTCTTGTAGCTATAAATGACTACACGCAGCTATACTGAGCCCATCAGTCATGACAAGTGGAAAATATACAGCTGGAATTAATCTGACAGGGGAAGAATAAAATTATCTACGGCTTTAAGGCTCATCAAAACCTGAAAATTCTAGAGAGGGCTTTTGTTTTTTAAGGAAAAAACAGAGAAGTGACAGAACTTTGCTATTGATTTCAAATGATGTGTGCTCAGATCAGCCTGGCGTGCCCAACAGCGCGGTATTCAAGTAGATATCCTCTAACCAAAAGGGCAACTCTTTCACCAAGGTAATAACTTGATAACAAGATATCCTCTAACCAAGAGGATAACTCTTTCACCAAGAGTTTCTGCTGGAACATTCCAGCATTCAATGATTAAATGATTACTGCAAATAGCGTGGAGTCAGAGCAATCCCTGACACTGGTACAGTTAATTAATTAGGTTGCCCAAGGAAGTTGTGGATGCCCCCTCCCTGGAAGTGTTGAAGGCCAGGTTGGATGAGGCTTTGAGCAACCTGATCTAGTGGAAGGTGTCCCTGCTGATGGCAGGGGGGTTGGGACTGGATGAGCTTTAAGGTCCCTTCCAACCCAAACCAGTCTGTGATTCTATGAATTAATAAAGTCATTGTTTAAATAGGTGTTAATTAAATGAATGGTCACATACTTTTGGTGGAACCAGTTGGGTTTTTTTCAGAACAGCTCCATCCTGTGTGTTCCCTCGAGGTGGCAGCTCACCATCCATCCTCACCAAAGACAGCTTCCATTCATCTGCTCCTCATCATCAAGCTGGAAGGATGTTATATGTTGGAAAAAGTGATGGCTGTTTTGGAAAAGGGAATCTTAACTGGGGTACCTAGTAGGCTGAAACTGTTTGAAAGCCATAGATAACGAATAGTTTGGAGGAATTAATTTTTCCAGCTTTTCTTGGAAGAGACACACACATACTCTGCTGAAAAATAACATTTCAGGATGAAGAAACAGGAAAAAGGTAAACCCACAGTTTGTATCTTTTACATAAAAAAAAAAACCATGGTCACAGCTGCAGCAGGGAGCACACAGGAGGTAACTAGAGATAAATATGAACAAATGACAACGGGAGTGAGAAGGGGAAAGGAAAAGGCTGCAAGAGGCAGTTTGGGAGACACAGGAAGAAGAGAGGGAATATGGAAAATAAAATTCAGAAGCGCTCTGTAGGCAAAACAGCTCTTAGCACCTGCTCTACCACCTCATGTGAGACAACTCCATGCTTAGATTGGTGAGTCTGGTGATAACAGCAAAAACAAAACCCCCAGGCAGCCCCTAATTCCCTCCCAATCCTTTGTGTGTGTAGAAACTTTGTTTTCAGATAAACAGTATATTTTACTTTAAATAGATGTCATGAATTCTGAGTTTAAATCTCTTTTTTTTCAGAAAGCTGTTGGCTGGGAATATTGTACTGTCAAAATAGTCCTGGGAAGGAAGAAAGCCTTATAACTAGAAAATAAATCTTTTGGGTAGTGTTTTTAGAAATACTGTTTTCAAATCTGTCTAAGTAGAGGAAAGGTTCCTCTAGCTATCTTTAAGTTAAAAAATGGAACCTAACTATATATTTATCATTCTATAGACATCACCCTCTGCACTTGACTCCAACAGTAGAAACAGCTGAATACTAGCAGTAAACATTTTTCAAGTTGCCTTGGTCTCTAGTGAAAACTCTTGAGGTGCCATGAGAAAACCACCAGGCTCAAGAGCTAACTCTCACTTTTGTGCATCTCCATTTTGAGAACTCCAAGTGCTTGCAGCATTCAGCAACAAATTTTTACCTACAGGAAAAATGTCCCTGCAGAAAGATCTCCTGAGGAGGTGTGGGCTGGAATCTCCTCTGCTCTAAGCTGTTTCCTGCTGTCCCAGCAGGCAGGAGGTTGCAATCCACTGCCACCTGGTTAGGTGACTTTTTTTGGGAGGAGGAAGGAAGGACCCACAAGTTCCCAGCTGACAAAGAAACTTGACCTCTGTGCCAACTGTTCCCCTCACAGCCAGGTCACCCAGGACAGGGGGAGGAATGATGCCACGTGCCTTCTCCCCACTGTCAACCAGATTTGGATATAAGCAGCAGTACAGTCGACACACAAGAGAGAGCAGAACATAGTCGACACCAGCAACAAAAGCCCCAAGAGAGCTCCGTGGGACACAGCATTTCCCTTATAAATCGTTTTATTGTTGGGGAGGAAACCTTGGTCTTCTCCCAGATCAAAGAAAATCAAGAAACTAAACCACAATTTGTTAAAATTATAAATTGAAACCAAGAAAGTCAGTAAAAAAACCTGTTCTTCTGCAACAGTATCAGCCCCCAGGGCCCCACCATCGGTTATGTGCCATAGCTCAGTGAATTCAAATGAGTTGCTATTTCCAAAGGCTGAGGTTTGGGGGTTTAAAGTTTCCATCTAGTCCCCATCTCCTCCTCCTCTCTCTTGCAGCAAGGCTGCTCTTAACACACTGTAAATCAATGTAGCTTGTATGAACTAATAAAGGGTAAAGTGTTGCCTTGTCAGAATACCTGGAGAAATTCCTTTGGTTAAGGAAATCCACTCTCTGTCAGGACAGCCAAACCTGGGCAGACAAACAGGAACGTGCACAGAGCTCCAGCTACCCCAAGAAAGTGAACATGAAAGTAAGCACCTGCCTCCATCAACACTAGTTCTCAGGAGATACATCACAGAGCCTGCATCAGGAGATACATCACAGACTCATCTTAGATTCAAATGCAAGGAACTGATGTTAAATATACTCCAAAAACTTATTTCTATACAAACTGGGATGAAAGTGAAGACATTATCAGACAACAAAATAAGTTTTCTAATAACATTCATTCATTTCAGAAGAATAAGCTATTTCAAAAGCTGGACAGTGCTTTAGGTAGAGAAGCTGCTTTGCTGCTAGAGTTGTTTGATATACAAAAAAGAATTATTCTGCCCAATTTCAGAGCCCGGGGATTGAAATAGCTCAGCAGTCTGTCCCTTAGGTCATCAGTAACATTAAAACACAGGCATGTACTAACAATTTTCAACTACAGCAAATGCTGGCTAAGAAAAAACAGACATTTTCTAAACCCCAACTTACTCTTGCCCTGAAGAGGGATGCTAGCTTGCTTAACAACGTTAACGTGTTGCAAGGCATAGAATATTTACCCATGCTTAGATCCTACTTCAGGCAGGAAGCAAAGACACACCAAACCTGTGTTTTGATGCAGTACAGTCAATGTGATTTCACTGCAGTGACGACTGAACCACGTTGGCAGCACACCTGATTTAACATCCAGGCAGCAGTCATCAGCTCACTGGCTCCTAACAACAGGTGAGACATACCTAAGGCAGGTAAACTTGAGGAATTCCAGCAAGTCAACCTAAAATCAGGTCTCAGGTGCTGACTGCCTCACTGTAACAGCAGAGGTTTGAGAGATACACACCCAAATAGTATTATTTAATACAAAATGCACTGACCTAGGAGCAGTAGCACCAGACTGAGGTGTGAGTACACTCTGCTCACAGCTTTGCAACTGACTTACAGTGTGATTACCATAATCTGCATCCAAATCTTTCAATCAGTTCTTCTGGGTATCAAATTTGGCAGCACAAACCTAATTTTTGGAGATGCTGACATTTCCTGTCCCTCCTGAAATCACTGGTAGCCACAACTTAGCTGTGCTAAAAGAAACACAAAAAAAGAAACTAAGAGTTTATTAGTAAATTCTGAAAGTGATGCTTTCCATCTCTTTGGGTCTGTTTTCCCACCTATGACACAGAAGCACCAGTTTTAAGCCAGCAGGGATGGAGAACTGTTAATACTCAAGCAATGGGCAGCTTTGACCTGGCTGATAAAGCTTGTGGCAAAGGTGTCTCTGTTCCTTGGCTCTGTCTGCCTTGTCTCCATGGATAAGCAGTTCCAGTCTGATCACAGAGTGCAGAGCAGAAGGGAGCCTCGACACTCTGTTCTCCTAGACACTAGGATAATTCAAATAGTTATAGAACTACTGAAACTGATTGTTTCATTGGAAAAGACTTTGCAATCAACAAATTAAAAGCAACACACTAGCCCCTGGTGAAATGAGTAATATTCAGAGATCATCATGAAGTGCAGCTTTCTCACTCTGCACACACAGCTCACAGACAGCTGGCTTGACATGAAAGAATCCTGTCCTGTCGTTATTTAGAACATAGATCATGACTTGTGGGGAAAGGGGAGACAAGAGGAGGTGCAAAAACAACTGCTCACTGAGTCTTTCCGCTCCAGTCAGTACCTCTCCTATCTTCCATGTGCTTTGTGTTCTTTTAAGAATGATCACTGTTTTTTCCCAACCTTAAAACCTGACTTAGCATCATCTAATAGCACATCACTTCTGAAAATGAAATAGCACTGTCCACATAACACAGGCAGCTTCTGATTGTCAAAGATCTTCCTAACATCAATTCTTTTCCCCATCAGGTATCTCACAGCACTCTGTTCCTGTAAGGCCTCCTGTCAATCTGTAGCAATCTGAGGCTCTGGATCTGCTGTGCGTTTATATCCAACAATGCTCAAAGTGCCTCTTCACTTCCAAACTCCATCAGGTTCTGGATAAATGATCCTGAAGGTCAAGTTTATCCGTGCATCTCTGGAATGATATTCCTTAGGCACTCGATGCTGTAAGTGGCATTAGAGAGGGAAGGAGAAAAAAAACAAAACAAAACAAAACATGAGCTTTTGTATTTAAAATACACATCAAACTACACAAAAAAACTTCATTTCCTGTGATGGCTTTTTATTAACATTTCTAAACATTTACAAAAGGCAAAAAAAACATGTTCTCACTGTTCAGGGCCACTGAAAACAAAAGGTCTTTGTAAATTGCTGTAGACTTGTTCAATTAAGTTGCAACTTTTTTATATTCCAAGTTCCTAAAGTGATTTTGCTCTTTCAGTTGCAGGCTGCAGCTTTCACCGCTGAACTTTAATGCTGGAACATCTGAGCTGATTCCTATGACATCACTTAACACTTGAAAGAAAACCCATTGTTTCTGTGGGTGTTCTGACATTCTGAGGCAGAAATTTATGTGCTGGGAAACAACTGTGTCACTGGAAGCAGAATGTCCCATATTTTTATGGGAGTGCCTCGTGCCTAGTTAGAAAACTGCACTGCAAGTAAAGCACACAAATAGTGTCGAGGAATTCTTACCTGCCAGTCCTCCTGGGTAGCTCCTTCCATCAGCAGCAGAGTCCCGTGATCAAGTGGGATTTTTAGTCTTTCTACATAAGTACAGTCTCCATTCTCTTCCTAAAAAATAACCCCAAACATTAGACACTCAAGAAACAGGCATGTGCATTTGGTGGAGCACCAATCCTCTATAGCAGAGCTTAAAAAGCTGTGAGGAGAGAGGAGGAAAGGAAGCTCTTACTAGATCAAGAAGTCTTAACTAAACCTCTCTGTTACCATATTCCACAAAAAAGTCAGGAGCCAAGAATTTTAAGGATGAAGGAAGTCACCACTTCTCACTGCCTGTACAGCACAGGTCAAGTTCAACAACCAGTTCCTACATCTAGGGCAAAATTCTGGAGCAAGGCAGTGAACCTGCTGGAAACATCCACTCTTGAAAGAAACAGTTCTGTGTGGAGACATCTGCAGGAGCCAGCCTGATTCCAATGGTTAATTACGTCATCAAAAATACACATCTTCCTTCTATTCTGGATTTGGTACATGTTGGTATAGTATTATAGAATCATAGAATGGTTTGGGTTGGAAGGGACCTTAAAGCTCATCCAGTTCCAACCCCCCTGCCATCAGCAGAGACACCTTCCACTAGACCAGGTTGCTCAAAGCCTCATCCAGCCTGGCCTTGAACACTTCCAGGGAGGGGACATCCACAACTTCCTTGGGCAACCTGGGCCAGTGTCTGACCACCCTCACAGTGAAGAACTTCTTCCTAATATCTAATCTAAACCTACCCTTTATCTGCTAGTTAAAGTATTTTTCCTATTTAAAAAAATAGAGTACCTTGTAAAACAAGTTATCTTAAACTTTATCATCATGAAGTAAAACAAACTCCATATAATCTGCAAACTTTTGTTAAACCTTCAGATTACGTACAACGTTTTTACAGCACAAATAAAACAACTGGGCATAGTAAAACCTGGCTGTGCCAGTGATTAATTAAACACACTAAACCTCTGGAATGAGGGAGTGCTGAAGGCACTCAGAGTCACCTGCAATATGAATTCTTTGTAAGGAAAATGCAAAACATATTTTTAAGCTTCTAGAATTCTTATCCATTTCTCTTGCTCTATTAAAAGTGAGGTGTAATGCCACAAATGTTTTCTTAAAATTCAGAGGAAATAAGGAAAAAATTTCAAAAATAGGTATGATGAACATGACTGCTGATGAAAAGCAGAGAAATACCATTACATGGCTGTTTCCTGTTTCACAGGATTACATCATTTCACTTTGTGGATAGACAACAGTGGACTTATTTTTATCTCTTGCTCATCTTGACTAAAAAGGAATTCTTCTAAGATAAATGACTGAGGAGAAAACATCCTTTTGGCTTAGAAAAGTGGATATGTAAAACCAGCAGTTACTTTCTGTTTTAAATGGGACATCTCTGAGATTAATTCTACTTAGAAAAAGAGATTTTTTTAATGTCAGTTGGTTTTGCAGGGCCAGTGAAGTCAGACAAAAAGTGTTTACTGTCTTACACATTGTTACTAACACCGTCCACCAGATCTCATGTCACAACTTTTCTCTCTCGAGCTGATGTCATACATGCAGTAAACTGAGCTGAATTTCACAAGTCAAGAAGTTTATGAAGCCAACTGATTCTTGACATCTAAGGAAGAAAATACTTTTTAAAAATACTGATGAGAAACATGGAAAGAAATGCATCAGGTAACTTTTATATGGCCACTTCCTAACTCTAAAACCACCTGCTTCCAAGAACAGGTCTAGTAAAGCAACTGTTCTGTGTCTTAGCACATTAGAATTCTCATCATCTTGAGCTGCACATTAAATACAATCCACGCTTTACACTGCCCAACTACACTGCCTAAAACTTGTTATTTTTAACCCTTAATTCAAGTAACTAGTTTGTTTCTTAACTCTCGGGCAAGTTTGTTGAGATAGTAGTAGGAAATGGTTCTGGATAGTGTGGAAGCATCTTCTATTATAAGGAAAAGTAAATGGAAAGAGCCTGTAGAAGAATGTAGAAATAATAATGCAGTTATACATGCAAATGATTTTCAAAGGCTAAAGTTAGCAGCTCTCATGGAGAGCGCTCACTTGTAGTCTCCTGCTTTACTTATTTACCTATTACCAAAAGAATTATCCTTACAAAACTTCTACTCTCATATTTTTTTCAGATTTCCCTCTTGCTTGTATCCCTCTTTTCTGGTTTACTCCTCTACCACCAGCTGTGGAAACACCCTCCTCCAACAACAAAGTGGTTTCATCTATCAACAGCTCTGCGTGTTTACCTGTTGGTTCTCACTCTCTCTGATGAAATCCTCATGGCAGCTCCTTTCTTGATGGATTCAATGAGTATCAATCACACTGCCCTTTCCACATGTAATCCACTTGTTCACCTTCACAGAACTATCTTTAAACTCCCTCAGTCTTTCTGCAGCTGACCTAGCAGACTGCAAGGGAGGCAGCTCTAAAACACACACATCATCTTCTCCACTTGGCTAGAGCTGCTCAAGTCCTGCCAATACAGGTGGACAACACCATCTCCTCCTCTGCAGCCACTGCTGTCTGCAAGTCTCCTTCATGCCAATGCACAAGTTCAATCCTCCTCATCCTGATCCAAGCCCCAGTTTCTAACATGCTCCATATATTCCCACATTCATCGTCCACTAGGCCTGTTAGGACATGAAGGGTTATTGTTCTGCTGTTTTCAAAAGTACTAGATCTTTAACTTCTGCTAGAACAAGGACAAGGACAGAAGAAAAGGACCGTGTTAGTGTTTCATTTGAAGGACAGACCCATCCAAAGGCTGATTCTGAGAACACCACGAACATCCTGCTCTTATCTAACACACAGGTGAAGCTCCCTCCCTTCCCCAGCACCCAGCAGTTTCCTTGGTTACAGATGGCAGAAGAGCAACCTGACAGTTGGCTTTCTAACTCCTTCCACAGTTCACACGGCCCTTCGTTGGACAACTGCACCCAACTGGTCCTCATGGCACTCAGACCTCTGCTACAGAGGAGCTCCCAGTGGGATACAGGAGCTTAGTGGGACATTAAATAGCCTTTAGCCTTCAACTAACACTTCACGCTCAGCTTCCAGAAAGACCTAATAACCTGGCATTGTCTCACTGAGTTGAGCAGTGACAAGCAATACTAAAAACTTTAAGTGAGACTGTAACAGAAAGATGCATCTAACACAGCAAAATAATTCCTCTAATGAAGGATGATATTTATTTTCTTAAAAAAATGATGATATTTATTTTTATTTATTTATCTGGGGAAGGACTTTTCATGGGGAAGGACTTTTCATAAGGGCAGTTAATGACAAAACAAGGGGAAATGGCTTTAAGCTGAAAGAGGGGAGGTTTAGATTAGATATTAGGAAGAAATTCTTTGCTGTGAGGGTGGTCAGACACTGGAACAGGTTGCCCAAGGAAGCTGTGGCTGCTCCTCCCTGGAAGTGTTGAAGGCCAGGCTGGATGAGGCTTTGAGCAACCTGGTCTAGTGGAAGGTGTCCCTGCTGCTGGCAGGGGGGTTGGAACTGGATGAGCTTTAAGGTCTCTTCCAACCCAAACCATTCTATGATTCCATGATTAAATTAATGTACAATTGTTACAGGGTCCTTGAGGCACGTGGAGAACAGGAGGACCTGTTGGCTAAACCAAAAGTTGATGTGCAAATTGTGGATGAATCACAGCTCTAACACAAAGCATTTGTCTCTTGTTTCGGTGTAGGCAGGAGCTACAATGATCTGAGGGAACAAGGAGGCAAGAAAAAGTTGAAGTAATTTACTGGAACTAGAAGCAGAAAAATAAAAGAAACCAGATCTCTTTGCTGTAGACTTTGAACTACCAAGCAGGCATCCAAAAAACCCCAGAAACCATTTAAAGCAAAGGCAAAATATCAGCTACAACCACACAACTGGTCCAAATAAACAGAAAAGGCAGTATTTAGAAGAAAGAATGCTTAAAAAGAAAAACTCCAGGGGGTCAAGTAAAACAGTTTCTGGAGTCATGTTAATTTCCATGAAAAGTCTCCTTAATTCTAGTGGGGAATTTACTCCTGAAATTTATTTGTAGCTTCTTTTTTTTTTAAAAAAAAAAAAAACCACAAAAAAAACCAAACACACACTGGGCTGAAATCCAAGTAGGAATTATTTTTACTTATCCATAAAGGATGCTTGTTGATGCAGATTTAAATAAAGTATGCATGTTTCCTCCTGTATCATCTACTATGGGATGAACACTTACTCTTCCAGTACAGTAACTCACCAAAATTAAAAACAGAGGACTGAATCTTTCCTTCCCCTCACCCTAAAAGAACTTTCAGGGAAAAAAAAACAACAAACACTTGCACCTACATATTTTTTTTCCCCATTTTTTGCAAAGGAAAAATGCAGAGAAAGGATAAAAAGATTTCCTTTTGTGACAGTTTCAGTGTTCTGTATAAACAGCACCAAATTCCTACCAAACAAATGTCAAAATTCCCACAAATGTGCAACAAAACAACCCACCAACATTACTGGTGGTCTTTGCATTTAGGGAAACAGGATTTTCTTCTCTTAACAAGTTCATCCACATTTCAAGATATAATATGGAAAATATCTGTACAGATACTAACATGAACTGAAGTCTCTGATCTAGTCCTCTTCAACAGCACTACAGGATGTTCCCTGACTTGTGGTACATCCTGTTTTGTACCCACTACATGATCACACACAGGCAACCACCTCAGGTTGTTTGGTTTTTTTTCCAGTACCATTTATCCCCAGTGAGCTTCTACCACAGTACTTCTCATCTTGTATTTTCATTATATCTTTCATCTCAAAATATTTAAAAGCACTCAACAAGGAGAGAGGGAAATGAAGGCCCTTTGAAACTCTAGAATCTGAAACAGTAGAATGTTAGCCCTCAAAGAGGTTTAATTTTGGAAGGAAAAGGATTTACTTTCTATTTCCCTCCTTAATAAAAACTTAACTCTGGAAAAGCTGCTGGCAGATTACAAACCAGGGAGAGAGCCTGTGATGACTGTGATGACTGTTAATCTAAATCCCTTTTTCCTAGACTACATTCACACACACATAGAATTACAGAATGGTGGG